TATATATATACTAGCTGACCCGGCGAACTTCGTATCGCCTAAGTTATAGGTTTCCCCTAAGACAGACCGATGGAAAGAAAGTACCGTTACGTTTAATTTTCAAGATGATCTCGTTCGCTACGCTAACTCGCCTCCAGGTTGAAGTTTGTTCGCTACGCTCACTCACCTTTGGGTTGGAGCTCGTTCGCTACGCTCACTCACCTTTAGGTTGGAGCTCGTTCGCTGCGCTCACTTGCCTTCAGGTTAGCTCGTTCGCTACGCTAACTCGCCTCCAGGTTGAAGTTCGTTCGCTACGCTCATTCACCTTTGGGTTGGAGCTCGTTCGCTACGCTCACTCACCTTTAGGTTGGAGCTCGTTCGCTGCGCTCACTTGCCTTCAGGTTAGCTCGTTCGCTACGCTAACTCGCCTCCAGGTTGAAGTTCGTTCGCTACGCTCACTCACCTTTGGGTTGGAGCTCGTTCGCTGCGCTCACTTGCCTTCAGGTTAGCTCGTTCGCTACGCTAACTGGCCTCCAGGTTGAAGTTCGTTCGCTACGCTCACTCACCTTTTGGTTGCAAATTAGCTGTTGTCATAAATGTAAAAGAAATAATAGTGCTGCACCCTGTTGGTAATCCTTGTAACTTTAATGCTATTGAACATCATAGAACAGAACCAACTTGTTTAATTGAAACAGCTGTTAAGATTCATTAATTCCATTTCTCATAAGGTTAACATGGGAAACTCCAGAGCCACTAGGGCGGAGCCCTTTTAAGAATTTCGAAACGGGAAATAGTTTACGTCCGATTCGCATACCTACAGAATTTACACACCAAATTTCATAACGATCGGTGAAGTCGTTCCGGAGGAGTTTGCAGACAAACACTGTGACACGAGAATTTTATATATTAGATATATATATATATAATTATTATTTCGCTTATTAATATATATATGATATATATACATATATTTGTGTGTCTGTCCAATTTTGATAACATTTTAGTTTGATGGTTTAAGGCGGGATAAACTTGAATGAGTTCGCGAACCAGCATGATCGGACCATGGGAACGATGTTTAATGGGGGGTTTTCTCATTTTTTACCCTTTTTTTATCAACAAATTTATCAATTTTTCTCCAGAACTTTTTAAAGAGCTTAAAAAACAAATAAATTAGTATTTCAAAGTGTTTTTGAACGGTTATTGGTTACAGAGAAAATTCAAAAAAATTTTAATTTAAAATTCTAATGTTATTCTTATGGAGAATAATGTAAAATTTTGTAGTTGGCTTGTTTATGGATATATTTTGATCAAACTTGGCGGATTTATTAATTTCATACTAAGCACTGATATTATAATAAAAAAACACTTTATCAGTTTCCCTGTAGCAGCTAACCTAGGTACTCGTTAAACATAAATGTTAATTTAATAGATTAATTGAAAATCAATCCAGGCAAATGCCTGCTTAGTCGGCAGGTTTACTGCAGCGGGGGTATTACTTATTTATGAGCATGTTAATGTGAAAGATGTTAATAAATTACCGTATTGGTTTTAATTGGAAGCTGTAGTAATTATCAGATTCAAAAGAAGAACTTTAATACATTAATTGAGTTAAATAATGATTGAACAGCTTGTAACTGAGTTTAATATTAGCATGAGTGTATGTTGATAAGTATTATCAGTCCTTTTATTAACAAATCACCATGATTAAATAATGAAGTTAATACTAGTAAAAAATATTATGAAATCCACATTCTATATCTGCATTGAGGTTCTTACGAAGGTCTTGTCTTCTGATTGGCTGCTAATATACATATCACAAGTTCTTTACATTGTCATTGACATTGTCTCTCAATCTTGCTGGTGTTTTAAAACTCTCCCTAAATTGATGCTTGAGCTTGATATTTGTTAGTATGATTATCTATCAATCTTTTTTATATTGCATCAAACCTTAATCTATATAATTAATACGCTACATGAAACTGTCGGTTGAACTCCTCCGCCATTTCTTAACCGATTTTATCCACTGACGTCTCATTGGAAAGAGCGTGTCGCGTAGATTTGCAAACTGGCCTTACATTTTTGAAAAAAGTCCCTTGGGCTCTGCCCCAGTGGCTTTGAAAGTTCCCATGTTATCCTTATGAAGAACATAATTGTTTACATTTTGATCAGCTGTATAATTTAATTTCTGTTATTTATTTTTCAATCCAATGAAACGCATTGAGTACATTTATTTACTATTTGAGTTTTTGTGTAAACATAACCCCCAAGACGGATCGTGTTAGTATGGTTGTATCTTAAATTTCTGTATTAATCGTTGTTTTGTGTCGCTATGACGGATCGTGTTAGCATGATTGTAACTTAAATTTGCGCATTTATCGTTGTTCTGTGTATCTATAATTGGTTTATTTGTTGTTTTTCTTTTAAATGCCTCCGACGCGACGACAACGAAACATAGACAGGAGGCGTAATCGTGAGAACCACCGCAGCTACAGAACAGTGGCGCTTAATAGGCTCAACCATTGACTATACACCTCTACTAGGTTAGGTGTAGAGGTGTATAGTCAATGGTTCAACCATAGATAAAAGGAGTATAGAGATGTCTATACTCCTTTTATCTATGGTTCAATTCAGCACAGTCAGCACCTGACCCTGGACAATCTCAACTATTAGGTTACGAATGCGCCCTTACACTACCCCAAAACGACTTTTCGTTATCAATTGGCCCCCTATCAATGATCTATGTTGCCTGTACAGCGAGGCATTTTGAGAAGGAGAAACCCGGCCGGAATGCTTTAGGTTTATCAATAACGAAGATAAACATGGACAGCCTTTTACGGAAGTAAGGAACCCAATAACATTTCCTTACCCTCTAGAAGTAAGGAAATGTGTGTAGAAAACATTAAAGCAATACTAGGTTATGAAATATGATACAATATTTACAGGAAATGTTGATTACTGTTATATACAATATATTGAGTATCTCCATGAGTTACACAATGGTAATCTTTGAGTTGACTCTTTAAACTTATTGTAAATATGACTGTTATTCGTTTTAAAATAACCCCTGTAATACTTTGCAATTGCTCGAATTCGAGCAACATGTACACTAGTAGTAAATTATTATTGGTTAATTAAGATGACTTAATATCTCTTATGGATCTTGTAGAATAGCTTAAAACTAAAACATTTTGAAAGCTACGTAAGGATTACAGCTAGTGGTACTTACTTCTTTATTGTAAGCATACATTTTCATAGGAGCACAGCATATGACTGAATTTTTTATGCATATTTTAATAACAACTTCTTGTAACATACCTATCATCCTTGATTGTGCCCAGTATGTTCTAGGACTCAACTCAAATACATGTACTTTGAGAATATGATTTCGGCTCGTGCGTCCTAGGGTTTTGTGTTTGTGTAGTTGCTTAGTGGGTGTGTGGTAGTGTAATATTTTTATATTCAGTTTGATTTAATTTTGATAAAAAAATTCCAAAAAAATAAAAATTCCAAAATAAAAAAATGGCATTTGGACCGTCAAATAGTTGAGGGTCGTTTGGACTTTCCTGGTTCATGGGTGGGCAAGAAGACCCCTGAAGATACCACTCAAGGTGGCAAAATGAATAGTATGACAAAAACATTTTACCTTCAAGAACTCAGGCTAGTTTGTCACAGTGCGCAAGTGTGGGGTTCATTAATAGTGATTCGGTAGAGTCTGTCAATAAGTTTTTCCTTAAGAGATTATTTAGTCTTCTGAAAAACTCACCAAATTATTTAATTTACGTTGAATCATTAACAAATAAGATATACTTTTACTTATACATATACTTTTATTCAAGCGTGTAAATCTGAACCATCTATTAACTGTATTGTCAATGTCTGGAAGTCGTTTACCATTTAAATAAGCCAAACAAATAATAAACAAGAATATTTACTGGCGTAAACATTGGAAACGTCTGGTAAAGAAGCATGGCAGGGAAATTAGTTTCGATGAGGTTGGCATCCCTGTTCTACAATCACAGCTGATGAGGGTGATGAAGGGGGAGAGGGCAGCTGGAAAAGTGATTGTGTATCACCAACAAACAAATCTTATCTATTAGCTTAGACCTAAAAGATAAGACATACCTTGCTGACAGATATGACATAACTTTAATTTCCTGGGCAATCAAGCAAGAGCTGAGCTTATCAACCTCAACTTCAAACTGTGGCTTGTAAGCTATTATCATTTATGCACACTTTGTAACTTACAAGAAAAAGAAGATGCCTTTTGCTTTATTCTGTATGTCCTATTTTAAATACGATAAGGAATTTTTATTTTGGCAGTCCGATTTTGAAATGGGATCAATATACAGCTTTTGAATGGTAGGGATTGGCGGGCCCAAGTAATTATTTAAAAAATGCTTGGTCAAAAAGATAGGAGTTAATCCAAGAATTCAATTTAAAAAAATAATTTTCCAAGTTTCATAAAAAATAATATTATTGATTTAATTGTTTAGTAAAGTCTTAATTGTTTAAGAAAGTGTTTAATTGTTGTTATATTCTTTTTGATAAAATATCTCTATATTGTATGGAAAATGTATTGTTTTGTTAAAAAACAAAAAAGTAAAGGTTATTTTTATTAATTGTCATTAACTATTGTTAATATATATGAAGTCCTGATGACCAGGTATGCCAATCGCAACAGACTGTTTTAATGATCATTGTTGTATGTAGTGCTAAGAATGTTATACTCACTTTTTCATTCATTCATACAAGAACTCAGGCAACAACAACAAAGGTAAATATAATATAATTTAAGTTCTTAAAACTGGGATAGCAAAAAAGATACCAAGGACCGTTTTGACAGTAACTAGGTAATTAAAACCTGTATTAGTTAATTAACTCGCCCATTTCATCATGAGATTTAACAGATAATCGGAAATGTGTTAAGCCTCAGGATAATCAAAGGGTAAAAGTTTTAATATATATTTATTTTCTTATCTACCAGGATAATAATACATGAAATATAAAATTCTTTTTTGCAGGTAGTGACTCTCCACCTTACACCCCTGTACCTGGGTTTACTCAAAATGGAGAAACAGTCTCCAATGAAATTTCTGCTCCGTATGAAGTGCCTCAATTTCCAATTGAAGTTATAGAAAAGAAACTAGCTATCCAAAAGCAACTTTCAAGCAGGTAAGGTTGTTTTTCAAGGTTGTTTTTGAAGGTTGTTTTTGAATTTCCCATATAGGGAATAAGCTATTACCGTAGTACTCGTGTAAAGATGGAGTGCCGCCGCCCGTGCCATCCTACCCCTGATGCTTTTATTTCTATCTTAAATTGTCGACGTTTTTAAACGGTCATGAGTAGAGGCGGACCCAAGAATTTCTTGAGGAAGGGGTGCTCTTACATTTTTACTTTTTTCCTTATATGAAAAATAGTAATGAACTTTATAAGGGTTCAAATTATCCCTATTTGTATGATAAGGTGTTGGTTTACTGTTTTTTTTTTTACAAAAATCTGAGATTAAGGATGGATTTGTTTATCGGTTAACATGCCAGTGATAACCAATAAACAGGTCGATAATAAATATGTAAATTAGTAATGTCGATGATAGAAGTGACCAATTCCAGACTTACCACTAGGCCTCAGCCTAGGGCCGCAAGGGAAAGGAAGCTGCAGCGTTTTATATACAAACTTTTTTTTCAAACAACAAATTGATTTATAAATGAATGATTCATAACGCTCGCGAGTAACGATATCCTCCCCATGAGGGCAGGAGATGTTCCCAATTTTACGGTGATTGCAGGTGACGATGATGATGTACCTGTGATAGCGGGAGATGTTAATGTTATTTCCGGTTGATGATAACGATGTCCCTGTGATGGCGAAAGACGTCGATGATTTATCCACGATCGCGGGTGTAGTTAATCATGTCCCCGTAATAGCGAGAGATGTTCACGAATCACGATTTAGCCACGATTGCGGGTGAGGTCAATCATGTCCCTGTGATAGCTTGATATATAAAAGATTTTACGATAATTGCACGTGACAATGATGATGTCCCCGTGATAGCAGAAGATGTTAAGCATTTTTTCTGCGATTCTGGTGATGATAACGATGTCCCCGTGAAAGATGTTGACGATTTTGCTGAGATCGCGGGTGACGTTAATCATATCCCCATGATAGCAGGAGATGTTCACGAATCACGATTCAGCCGCGATCGCGGGTGGCAATGACGATGTCCCTGTAATAGGGGGAGGTATTAACAATTTTGCCGCGATCACATGGTAATTTAATAACGAAATCCATATATAAATCCCAAAGTACCCATGAACCTTTGAGAAAACTAAAAATCACACCCCCATAAACCATATATTTAAAATGTTTGTCATGATGAGAAACCTTGCGCAAAACTATCCATTATTTCATAAATTGAATTCTTCGTAATTCTTTTCTAAAGGGAACTTTCCATATACCTAATAAAAAAAAAACAACAGCTGTACTTATTTGTATGTTATTCTTTTGAAGGTTGTTTTTGAATTAGGGAATAAGCTATTCCTTATTACCTTATTCAAATCAGGTGTGATTATTTGTTTGTATTGGTATATTCTGTTTTTTTTTATATTTAAGCTTAACTTAACCAATGAATAGTTTTATTAATACTTATAAAGTCAAACGGAGTGAAGCCCGTGGATAACAGCTAGTATTAAATAATTTGTTTTTTATTCTTATAAAAATGTTACCTACCGTTAAGGTTTACATAATATTATACCAAATTTTAATACTATAACATTTTTAATAACGTTAAGTAAAAGTAGTCTATCATTGAACCTTTGGGCCATTTTCTTAAAAAAAAGTTGGCATGCCTCGTTTTAAGACTGACTGTAAAATGCCATTGGTACTTAGAAAAAATCCACAGTTACGTGGTGAAAAGGTTGGCTAATTTAGGACTTACTCCCCTTTGAAAAATATGTAGCTGAGGCCCTGATCATACAAAACGATACCAAAAAGAAATATGAGACTGTACAAGGGCATGATAAATGATTTAAAACTGTTAAATTTAGAAACCTTCCTTAATGCAAATAAACCATAAGCAAACTTTTTAGATATTGATGAAATATGATTATTCCAATTTAAGTTTTTGTCTATTATTAGGCCCAAAAATCTTGAATTATTCACCTCTTCCAACATGTGCTTATTAAGAAAAAATTTTTAGTTTATTAAAAGTAAGTCTTTTTATTTGGAATGAAACTAAACAAATTTGTAAAATGTGTGTTGATTTGTTAGTTTTTACGGATATCATGAAATTCCGGTTAATGTGACAACGTTAAAAAAAATCAAATGTAAAAAAGCTAAAAATAACAATTCTGACAAAACTACTACCTCAAAATACTAATTGCCAGATCCCTGTGATTGAAGATATTACTTAGTCTTACATTGAGCAACTGTGGATTGTAGCCAAGTATTTAGGTTGGTCAAGATCTTAACATCTATCTGCCCATCTGGGCATTTAACTTGGATATTACTCCACTCAAGCTTTTTATTTTATAAACCTGATGTTTCGCCAAAACCCCCTTCTATGGTGTTACAGATGTAAACACATTAACCTAAAATCTTAAATGAAAGATCAGCTGTTGGAATTCAAATTTACACTCTAACCGTTATAAAAAAGCTGGTTAGCAACACTAGATCTTTGAACGTGAACTCTGGAAATAATTGAAACGAGCACAAAAAAATAACACATAAAATAGCAGTACACCACACAAATACTGCCTCTTCCAAATCTTTTTGTATTTAAATGTAGGCACTTTTAACGGGTTTCCTTATTTGTGAAGAAATGGTCTTAACATTCAGTTTTTGCCAACATCACATTTTTTTAACATTTTTTAGTTAACAAAAAACCAAATAACTGAAATACTGGTGATGAATCGGTGGCTCAGTCGGTAGCGCCACATACTTCTAGCCCTAGGCAGTGATGTCGTGGGTTTGAATCCTGGTACCCGCCACTACTCTTTGTCCGTACAGTTCACCATTGTACTGTACTGGCTCACCCATTGCTTTGCTGGAAGTGTTCCATGCACGCACAGGCCTCTGTGGCCCATGTAAACAGGCAAATGCAAGGTTGATTAAAAAAATTATATTAAATTGTTGCAGATTACCTATTTATTATTAAAGTTATTAGGAATTTTTGAAAATGATATTTGTATACATTTTATTGGCCGAAAATTAATAATTCATTAAAATGAAGTCAATTTGACCTTACAATAATCAGAGTCTTAACTCGTAATCTTTGTTTTTTTGTAGCAAATTTAGGAAATTTGGGGTTAAATTCTATAATTGCGTCATATAAAAATGTAAACAAAAATTACTTTTGAATATTCTTATAACCTTTTAACGGATTAAGATTTTGAAAAAACAGATTGCAGCATTGTTTTCAGCGTAAAAATATAGTTTGAAACGATGGGTCAAGACTCCACCTTTACATTTGAAAATAATTATTTGTATCCAATATGGTGGATCCAAGATGGCGGCCAAAAACTTATACCCAGTCAAAATAAAGTACTTACTACTTTACAATGATCTGACGTCGTCCAGAGTTGATATAAAAAAAAAAGAAAAAAGTAGGTGGGGGGGATCTCGTTTAAAACTCACCCTGTATATCCAAATTAAATGCTAAGTGATTTTAAAAACGACCAAAACAGGGATACAACCCATTAATCTATATCTATAAAAGAGGAACTATATATGTATGTATGTATATATGTATGTACCTTATGTACTCCGAAACCGCTTGACAGATTGTAATGAAACTTTCTGGCATTATTAAGCACTATTCAAGGATGTTTTGTGTGAAGTTTGGTGCAGATCTGTCAAAAGGGCTCCACCCCAGAGGGTTTTAAGGGGTCCTATGTCAGACTTTTGGAACTACAATGTTTACAAATAAATATAATTTAAAAGCATATTGTTGTATTAAGTATGTTCTTTTAGTCATATGATTTATTTGTGTTTAAATATCTTTTGTTGACAGATGTTTTTTGAAAACATGTTTTGGTAAACATTGGTTTAGTTGGAAATAGAGTTTGTTGAAACAAGATGTGTGTTTAATAATCTTGTATTAGAAATAGAACATGGTGGCAGCTTAGTGGATTTTTATCAAACTGAAAGTCTAAAACCACGCATAATGTCAAGTAAGGGCAGAAAAAAACGAAATACTCGGAGGCACAGGTATGAGGATAACGGTGAAGACGACGCCCAAAGTGAACTCAACTACGTTTCAGAAAGGGACTCTAGAAAGACTAAAGATGAGTCACGAGGTTTTGCATTGGGACATACGAACCGAGAAAATGATGCAGCTATGTATACTCCTACTCCAATGGTCAATATCACGTTACCAACTCCAGAAACGTTCTCTTTTACTCCGAATGAGTGGCATTCCTGGAGGAATCGCTTTCAAAGGTACAGACGGGGTTGCGGTCTGGATAGCACTTCCGACACTCGGCAAATCGATGTACTTTTGTTTGTAATGGGTAGTAGAAGTGAAGATATTTTCGATTCGTTTTCACCAAAACCTAATACTTATGACGAGGCTCTTAGGGCCTTTGATGAATACTTTGTGCCAAGACGGAATATATTTTATGAAAGATCAAAATTTTTGAGACACAAGCAAGGGAGTGATCCATCTGAAAAATTTATAACAGATTTGCATGGCCTTGCGAAAACGTGTGCATGGGGTGAACTAAATGATGAGATGATGCTTCTCGTCCTCATTATTGGTATGCAAGATGAGGGTCTGAGTGATAGACTCCAGCTGGAATCTCAATTGACTCTGGAGAAAGCAATTAATACCTTGCGCCAACATGAGGAGCTAGAACGCCAAAAACGTGAACTTGCCAATACTAATGTTTTTTTGGTAAATAAAACGTCAGTTCAAAACGGTAGACCGAATCGGACAGAAGGAGTTTGTGACCAGAAATACATCGAGGATGCAGAAAATACAAAGAAGTGCAGGAAATGTGGTTATGATTGGCACGGATCACTGGCAGTCGAAGTATAAGATGCAATTTGATAAACGAAATGGAACGAGGGGTTTAAGTGAATTAGAAGAGGGAAGCATGGTATGGATCACAGATCTACGTAGACATGGTAAAGTAGTCAGGAAATTGAACGAACCACGTTCCTACCTTGTGGACATT